AAATAAGATTGTTTGGTCATTATTTATGTACAGGGATTTTGTGTTAAAAAAGGCGGCAAAACAAGATGATTCAAACCCTGTGACTCGTCTGACATTTCCTGCCCATATATACAAATTAGCAAATTGCAAATATAAAAAAAATGCCACGCGGTAATTGCAGACGATTTGTAATCAGCTATAGAGGAAACAATAATTGTTGTTCATTTGGTAAATTAATATCTCTTTTCCCCCCTCGTGTCCTACTTTTTATCTTACTTCCCTTTGCTAGTCTCTTTTAATTTCCCTCTTTACTTATTTCTTTTTCAGCTGAGAAAGGTTTGAACTTTACTCATCCCGATGTAAGGATTCCGCTGAACGATAAGTGAAAACCAAATCTTCCACATTTGACATGCTTCTCTTATATAGCTGTATACCTCTTTTTCCGGCACATTAAAGCATTTTGAAGACTTTTAATAAACAAAGTAACCTATCACTTTATTGGAGCTAAGGAAATGCTCAAGACAAYATCTACATGTGCGATTCGTTGTAAGATGATTGTTGAATACCTAAGTACAACTCTTTTGCCCGTTTAACAAGTATACTGTCAACTTTCGCTTTCGCTGAATTCTGCTTTTTTTGTAGTGATTGGCAAAATTCTCCCAGTATTGAATACTCGAGCATTAAAAACATGTAAACATTTATGTTCACACTAAGAGATCGGACTTTGAAACCTCATTTATTTCCACGTTCTTTGAAAGAATCAGTTATTTTGCAATAAAACAAATTTCACCAAGCTCTATAACTTATTACGATGCAAGTCTAGCATTTTAACTGGTTTATTTAACTTCTCGGATTACAGCACTCAGCAGCACTATTTACATTTTTCGTTGCTCTCTTACGGACAATACTCACGTTCTTATACAAGTACTCCCGGAATTTCCAGAAGCTTCTCTACAGAATTTTAAAATAGCATTGGCCGTTTTTATGCTAGAGACGTTTAGGTTGTCTAGACACGTTTACCGTCTACCCGGGACCGTCTAGGACGTTAAAGGCGTCTAGTATAAAAACGAGACGCATTTAAGTACATGGCTAACAAAAAATGTAGATCTTTTTTTCATAAAAAAAGACTGGGTTCTATGCTCGGGACACTGGAAAAAGGCAACCTTTAGCGCGCCAATATACGAACAAATCTCCTAGCTGATACATGGCAGGCAGTTAAGGGCGTCACGTTTTTATACTTCACAGGTTGAACGTCTCAAACGTTAAAGGCGACTGATAAGAGCGTCGTTTAGACGCTCTTAAAAGAAGTTAATACGTTAACGTAGACAGACGTTAAAAGCGTCTTCCTTATTTTCCGTTTTTATACTAGACGTTAAAGTCGTCTCGAGACAGCTTTAACGTCCGAGACGACATTAACGTCACTAGCATAAAAACGGCCAATTGTCAAAATTTTATTACAACAGACTTGACAGAAGGGATTTAATGTCAATTCGTAGTGGGCAATTAATGAGAAAAATCTAACGACTGGATTTTTTTTAAAATAAACAAAATCCATTTTTTAAGCCTTGTTTTTAACCAGCCAAAATTTTCCTTGCTGTTGTGGCAATTGACACAGTTAGACATCACCAATAGCACAGTGTAACGTTGAACCTTTTTCACGACTGGTTACAACTGGATTCACCCGGCTTCTACACTTCTCGTTTTGAGAGCTTTAACACTTACGTTAAGCTAACGATAAAATTTTGAACCGACTTGGTTCTCTATCACGGCGAGCGCCTTTGACCTACACTAACTTATTCGTCTCTGTAATTTTCCAAGTGACTTCTGTTAGTATTAGATGAGACTCCACAAGAGTGATTTGCTGGATATTCAGGACTGATTATCCTGTTATTCCCGATAGCTTTCATTCTTATTTCCATCGATCGAAGAAAGCACATGGAAAACAGTGCATCTTAGTAGAGAGCTGCCTAATACCGAAAAGACTAAGTTTATACAAAGAAACGTTTATAAAGGAAAACAGGAACGATAAAAGAAGTGTCAAAAATAGCAATATACACAGCAGAAAACTGTCTCTCATCTTCGAACACTGCAACGATGCAAGATAGAAAGCACAAGAATAGACTGCGCATCTTAATTCTGCCATTCGCGCATAACCACAATTCCTTGCGCCTTTGATCTTACCGCTACC